AAAGAAAGAAAGAAAGAAAGAAAGAAAGAAAGAAAGAAAGAAAGAAAAGAAAAAAAAAGAAAAGAAAGTTCGCATATATGTGTAGTCTAGTCCTTGGAGATGGAGGTAGAACCAGGAAGACCAGGATTTCAAGATCAGCCTTAGCTGCATAGGAAGCCGACAAGGGCTACCTATCTCAAACTCTACTCAAAAGAGAAAAAAAAGAAAGGAAAAAAGGGAAGAAGGGCAAGAGACCAGACCTGACCCAGCCCAGGAGATGTATAACCCCAATGATGAGAAAATGAGTTGTGACCCTTTCCTAGCTTCTCCTCTCTCTGGACCAGCTAGCTGCCACACCTTGATGACCATGTAAGATGCTTTGAAGGGGAATGAAACTTCAGACCTAAGAGTCAGGAAGCTACAATCTCTTGAGACTTGGCATATTGCTCAGTTGGTAATGTGCTTGCCTAGCATACATGAAGCCTGGAGTCTGATCTCCAGCACCACATAAATCTAGTGTGGTGGTACATGCCTGTAACTTGATTATATGGGAGGTGTGGGCAGGAAAATTAGAAGGTCAAGGTTATCCTCAAAAACAGCGAATTCAAAGCCATTGTAATACAAGACTCAGTCTTAAAAAATAAATCAATAAAACTAACCTCCCCTCAAACAAAACCATATAACCTTTTGACAACCAAAGCCGGAAATATTCATATAAACCTCCTTCCTGAATTTGTGTGCGTTTTTTCTTTTTCTTTTTTTTTTTTTCTGGGTTAGAAAACTTCAGGTGATGTTTCTCAAGAGCTATGGTGATTAGATTTTTGTTGAGTTGACATAAGCCAGAGTCATCCAGGAAAATAACAACCTCAATTGAAAAAAACAAAAAACAAACAAAAAACCTCCATCATATTGTCATGTAGGTAGGTATTTGTAGTATTTTCTTGATTAATGATTGATGTGGGAGGGCCCAGCCCACTGAGGGTGGTGCCACCCTTAGGCAGAACTGCCTGCGTTGTATTAAAAAAAAATAAGCCATGAAAACAACCCACATTCCTTTATGGTCTCTGCTTCAGTCCTGCTTCCAGATTTCTGCTTTCAGTTCCTGGCCAGGCTTTCTTCCATGACAGACTATAAACTGTAAGACGAAAAAAGCCCTTTTGTCCCCAAGTTGCTTTTGGTCATGGTTTTATTACATCAAAGAGAAGCAAACTAATACAGGAGCTGCCAACCTGGTACTGGAGATAGGGACTCTCCTTTTGCTTGGAGCTCACTGTGTTTGCAAGTGAGCTCTAGGGAATCTACCTGTTTTGGCCTCCCTAATGCTTGCATTACAAGCTTATGTCACCATGCCTAGCTTTCCTCACATAAGTTCTGGGGATTAAAGGTGGGTCTTCATGCCTGCTAGGCGAACAATTTTGTTGAATTACTCTCCCTCCCAGTCCAACACTGTTGGTTTTGTTTTCAGTAACTAAGTCTTAGGGTAATTTATTACATCTATTACATAGCAACAGTGGCCCATCATATGAAGAACTAATAAAGCTGAACATGTAGCAGTCGTCTATCAGATCCAGGACTATTTCCAAGAATGAAAATAAAATCATAATTCCTCCTACTACTACTCTTGTTCTCCTTTCTCTTAATCTATATTTTCCATTTTCACAGCATTTCCATTATTTACTTTTTAATTTGTGCTATTTTTTTGAGACACTACATAGTCCAGGCTGGCCAGACCTGGAGTGTAGACCAGGCTGGCTTAAAACTGACAGAGATCTATTTGCTTCTACCTCTCAAGTTATGGGATTAAAGGTGTGTGCCACCAGGCACATGTATTTTTTTTTCTTTTTAATGTTTTTATACTTAACTTTCAAAATAATAGGCTTTATTTGGACATCTTCATACTTAAAATATCATGTGCCTTGTTCATATTCCTCCCACTATTTTCATCTATATTTGACATTTTCTGATGTATTATACAGTCATCTTACTATTTTCTTTTTAAATTATCTCTCCAGCCCTCACCTATTTTCTTTACTATACATTTCTTCCTTCCATCCATGCTAGAACAAAACCTATAAGAACAAAAGGATCAGGAGCCAGGCATCATCCTGCACTTCTGTAAACCCAGCATTTAAGAGGGTACAGCAGAAAGTACAGAAAGTACAGCTCCACTACATAGTAAAATTTTGTCTCAAATAATGATAAAACAAGGGCTAGAGAGATATCTCAGTGATGAAGAACACTTTCTGGTTTTGCAGAGGCCCTTCATTATGTTCTCAGTGCTGACATGGTAACTCAAAATCACCATGTGGCTGGTGATTGAATGCCCTCTGCTTACATCAGATACACATGAACTCTTGTCAGCTCACATACAATTAAGAAAAAAAAAAAAGGAAGAAAGACAAAAAAAAAAAAAAAACATTACAAAAAGCAGAGATCTTTCTGTCGTTCACAGATTCAATCCAAATACCACAACAACTTACATGGTATTTGTTCAGCAACTATTTGTAGAATGAAAGAACAAGCATTTCATGACCATTTCAGTCTGGTAAAAACTTAGTGAGTTTTCCATTCAGAGATATGATCCTATAAAAGTATGATGCCTAGGTCCTATGTTTAGGGACCCATTGAAATGTTAAATTAGAAAAAAAGATCTGAAGCTGGGCATGGTGACACACACCTGTAATCCCAGCACTGGAGGCAGAGGTAGGCAGAAGAGCTCTGTGAGTTTGAAGCCAGCCTGGGCTACACAGAGAAACCCTGTCTTGAAAAACAAAACAAAACAAGACAAAACAAGCAAACAAACAAAAAGGTTCTGTTGAGAGTTTAGTCTTGTTTGTACAAAAATATTTGCTTGGAATTTTTCTTTTTAATTAAAAAAATTGTTTATTAAGGCTGGAGCAATGGCTCAGCCGATAAGAACAGACGTCCTGAGTTCAATTCCCAGCAACCACATGGTGGCTTACAACCAATACCAGAATCTGATGCCCTCTTCAGATAGAACACTCATACATAAAATAAATAAAATCTTTATTATTATTATTATTATGATTTTTTTAAGATAGGGTTTTTCTGTGTAGCCCTAGCTGTCCTGGAACTCACTCTGTAGACCAGGATGGCCTCAAACTCACAGCTCTGTATCTGCCTCTCCTTCCCAGAGTGCTGGGATCAAATGTGTGTGCCACCATGACCGGTTGGAATTTTTCTAAGCTAAGAAAAAAATTGCAGAAAAGTGTACAAGGTACTAGATTTCAAACAACGAAAGTGACAGTATCCAATGTTAGGCATGATGGCACAGACCGGTATTCTTAGTATTCAGGAAGTGAAGACAGGAGGGTCAGAAGTTCAAGGCCATCCATAGGCTACAAAGTGAGTTTCAAGGCAGTATGAAACACATGAAGCCCCAACTTTAAACAAAACAAAAGAAAACAAAACAAAACAGAAACTGTGTCAGTGGCCCACTAAATGATTAGAACAGAAATTTTCTTTCCTGCCACACAGTAGGAGGAAAAAAATGGATGGCATAAGAATTCATAGGAAATGAGGAAAAGAAAAAAAAATTAAGTGCAAGCGGAAGCATTTGCTTTAAATAAGAGAGAGAACACTCCTTCAGAGACTAAAAGCATTAACTATAAAAAGGGCCAATAATTGACAGTAGTCTCCATAGCTCAGTGGCAACTAGGTTTTATTAAAAGTAAATTTGTAGTTATCTGCTGAGAGTAAGTACAGTGGTTTAGCATTGGAACCTTTTTGTAAAAGTTATGATAAAGTCCAAATATAGTAGAAGAAGTGCTTTGAATGAAGGGGTGTGAGTGATGTGACCCAGGCTTTGCCCATAGAACTGTTGTATTGTGCCCTTTTACAGGAAGGGGTACATACCTGCCAAGGATCGCACTGGTATCAGTCAGAGGACAGCCTTTGTGAAGATCATTCATGGTAATCAATTGGCATTGACTTGCAGCATCTGCTTTTCTGCCCTCTGGCCTCTTTCTTTGTTTCTTTGTCTCTCTCTTCCTTAACAAGGCCTCATGCTGGAATGCAGACTGATTTGTAACTTATGGGACTCTTCATGTTTCAGCTTCCTGAGTTCCTGGGATTGTAGGTGTAGACCAATCACAACCAGTTAACTTCTGACTTTTGCCCTGGTGTCTTCATTGCTAACCTTTCCCTTGCTCCTTGCAACTGAAATTTCCTCTTTTGTGAAGTCATAAAATGACCTTATCTTGTGCTGACAAAACTGCTATCTCTCCCTAGCCCTTCCCTTCCTTTCTTGCCCTTTATCTTCCAGGTAAGGAGCTATACAGTTTGGGGTGGGGCTTGAAGAGCACACAGTCACAGTCATCTCAATCTAGGAGGAAAGTCTACCCAAGATTTCTATAAACTAGTCTAGTCTTATGGCTATACTCAGTCTCTTCAGTGTTCAAGGAGCCAACAATCCAAAAGCAAAGCCAAAGTCAGGGAATTTTCCCTCTGTGTCTAGATTGGAGGAAGAGAAAAGTTATTGGAGTTAAGCTCCAGGAGGGAAGCTGACTTTCATGGCTTGTGTGTTTAGACAGAATATGAACCAGAAACCAAAGAGCTGAATGGATTCATATCTTACATGTGAGGAATTGCCACCACCAGCACCACCACCCTCAGAATTTTCAAAAGAACTGAAGCTGTAACTTGTTGATAAGTGCTTATCTATCACACACAAAGATCTGCGCTCATTCCCCAGTACCTGGGGTGGGGAAGGGCTAGGGAGAAAGATCCCACTGCACCAGAGTCAATAGGAAAGGACAGAGGAACTGAACTTCTCCTTGGATTATAACCCGGAGGGATTTGAATCTGAATCATGTCCTGGAATTTGAAGTTTCCCCAAAGATCTTCTAGTGAGTCTGACTCACCACCAAGCTTCAGAATAAGTGATCTACAGATTAAAGTTCAAAATCCTTTAGAGAGCCATGTATGGACTTGGTTGTATCTCCCCCAATGTGTTGGATCTCTGTCTCATAGTACTTCAGAATATGACTATATTTAGAGACTGGGCCTTTGAAGAGGTGTTTAAATTAAAAAGCGGCTATCAGAGTGGAACATAATAAAACCTGATTGATGTTCTTATAATAAGAGAGGAGGAGCCCATTAAAAAGAAATATCAGGGGCTGGAGAGATGGCTCAGTGGTTAAGAGCATTGACTGCTCTTCCAGAGGTCCTGAGTTCAATTCCCAGCAACCACATGGTGGCTCACAACCACCTGCAATGAAATCTGATTTCTTTTTCTGGTATGCATGAAAACAGAGTGTTCATATATATTAAATAAATACATCTTTAAAAAAAAGAAGTTAAAAAAATATCAAACCAGGCATGGTGGCACATGCCTGTAATCCAGCAGTGGGGAGGCAGAGGCAGACAGATTGCTGTGAGTTTGAGGTCAGCCTGGCTTACAAAGTAAGTCCAGGATAGCCAAGGCTACACAGGGAAATCCTGTCTAAAAAAAATAAACAAACAAATAATAAAAGAAATATCAATGATGCATATACACTGTGAAGGTGGCCATGTCTGAGCCAAGGACTAAGGCCTTAGAAGAAAAGTGAACTTGCTCATGCCTTGATGTTAGACTTCATCATTCAACAACAACAAGACTTCTAGCCTTCTGACCTGAAACCAAACAAATTTGTAGCTTTTATTTTTGTTATGGCAGCTCAAATGGACCAAGACAAAATTTTTTAATCTGGCCCCAGATAGTTATCTAGAACCTCTGCAACTCTTTCCATCCCCCTTCTTAGTCAGCCCTTTTAAATTCTGAATTCACAGGAAACTTCACCTGTCAGTGTCCAGTATTCGGTTCTGTAAAATGGTGTTAACAAACAATGCCTCGCATAGGGTTACCTGAAAAACAAACATCATTGCTTCTTATTAAAATACTTTTCATGATATTTGTTAGTGAAAGGCTGTGTCTTGATGGGTATAGTGACCACTGCAATGAGATTTTTCAGCAGAGGAAGGAAGTTAGGCTCAGCTTCAAACATAGCAAGGAATAATAGCAATAGGTAGCCAAAGGAAACGATAGGGGTCAACAGATGGAAAATTACTAAGAGGAAATGTCAATCTAGTGGAATTCTTGCTGGAGGCAGAGCAGAGTGATGAGCACAGAATGAAGAATTTGATCAGATACTGATGGTGGTGCTTGCTAGAGACTCAGATTCTTAGTAAAACTGGACTAACTGGACTTAAGGCACAACCCAATGTCTGAGAGAACCAGACCCCAGTTTGGTTAAGAAGGAAGCCTTCATCACCATGCAACAAAATTCACAAAGTGTGAGTACAGTAAGCACACAGTAAATGTTAGCAGCTCCTCTCCAGGTATCAGGTATTAACTGCCATTCTAGTGTATGAGGTATTTTGTTCCATTTCTATGCCTTATTATGTTCTCACTTATCAGATTAAATGCTTCATTTACCTAATTCTTAGTTGTCCTTCATGACATAACTCTTAGCAAGCTGTGATGTTGCATGCCTTACAATCTTAGTTCCTAGGGGACAGACATAAGATTATCAAAGAGTTCAGAGGTACAGCCCAGTTTAGTGGCACATACCTTTAATCCGAGCACTTATATGGCTGAGTCAGGTGGAACTCTGTGAGTTTGATGCCAGCTTGGGCTGGAGAGTGAGTTCCAGCCCAAGTGTGTAGCCAAGGCTACACAGAGAAACCCTGTCTTGGAAAAAAAATGTATTTATAGCCAGCCTTGGCTGTATAACAAGTTTGAGGCCATCATGCACAACATGAGACCCTGTATTGAAAAACAAACTAATGCTGAAGCCTGGTGTAGTCTGCTTTATCTGTATCCAGGACCCCTTTTGGTGGCTCCACCAGAGAGAAATCACTGTGGGGATGGGCTTAGGTAGATGAGTGATGGAGGGTTTTAGAGGGAATCTTGTTTGAGAACATCCCAGCATGCTTGTTATTCTTGTAGATTTGGCATCAGAACATGAATGAAAAGAACACCTGGGGATGACATAGTTTACTTGGTAAAATGCCTGTGCCAGCATCGTATAAACCTGGTATGGGTCATCATGGCATTTAGGAGGAGGAGATGGGAAGGTGGAGAGTTCACAGTAAGCCTGGCCTATGTGAAGCCCTGCCTCATATAACAGAACAACAAAACAAAACAAAACAAAACAAAACAAAACAAAACAAAACAGACTAGGGCCAAAGTGCTTTCCATGGGTCTGGAGCAATATCTCAGCAGTTAAGAGCACTTAATCCTTTTGTAGAGGACCTGAGTTTGATTTCCAGAAATCACATAGTGGCTCCCCATCATCTTAACTCCAGTCACAAGTGATTTGACTCCTTCTTCTGGCGTCCATGGGCACTCCATGGCACTCCATAGTGTCCATACATATACAGACAAAACACTCATAAACATAAAAATAAAAATGTAAAAAGTGCTCACCAGGCAAACCTGATGATTTGAGTTCAGTCCTTAATCTGATCCCATAGTAGCTGATTCCCAAAGTTCTCCTCTGATACACACACACTTTTTTTAATTTGAGAGAAGGTATCTTTAAGTTGCATAGGTCAGCCTTGAACTTACTATATATCCTAGGCTGGGTTCCACGTTTCTGGTTCAGCCTCCCAAGTAGCCAGTGTATCACTAGATTTGGCTGGCTTATGATGTAGTCAGTTTTAGGAACAGGAAAGAAAACATTAAAAAAAAAATCCATGGTTTTTTGCTCTGTTTTGTTGTATTTTATGTTTTCTTGAGACAGGCTGTGCTCTAACTTGTGATCCTGCAGCTTCATTCTCCCAAGCCTTCAAGATTGTAGGCCTGAACCACTATGCCTAGCCCATCAAAAAGAATTCTAAATCAAAGTTGGCTTTTAGAAAATCACTGTGATAGCATAAATAGTGAAAGGATTTGAGCAAAGAAATGGAAAGGAGCTTAGGAAACTAGTAATAAACCTGGAAACAAGGAAGTTCCTAGCACAGTTTCTAAAAGACATGCTCTCAAGCTGAGCATCATGTAGCAGCCCTATAATCCCAGCTCCCGACAGCCTGTGGTTAAAAGGATGGTGAGTTTGAAGCCAGCCTGGGATACATAGTAAGACACTGTTTCAAAAAACAAATAAGAAAAAAATTCCTTAATTGTGAAAAAGAAAACAACTCAATTACAAAATGTAAAAGATAGCCAAGTAGAATTTTTTTCTCTCTCAATTTTAATTTTTAAAAAAATTTTTTGAGACAAGGTTTCTCTGTGTAACCTTGGCTCTCCTAGACTCACGTTGTAGACCAGCCTGGCCTCGAACTCACAGAGATCTGCCTGTCTCTGCCTCCATGAGTGCTGGGTTCACAGGTGTGCATCACCACACCCAGCTAGTAGTTTCTCAAAAGAAGGTAGAAGAATGGCTAAAGGCACAGGTATTTAGTCTCAGGAGTTGGGAAGCAGAGGCAGGAGACTCTCTGTGAGTTTGAAGCTAACCTGGTCTACTAGGATAGCTAGGGCTACATAGTGAGACCATGTCTCAAAAACATGGCTAAAGATATGTGAAAAAAATCCCACCACCAATCATCAGGAAAATACAATTAGAACAACAAGATGTCAGTTCATACCCTTAAAAATCATTTAAAATAATTTGGGAGGCTGAGGCAGAAGGATTGCTACAAATTTAAGGCCACCCAGGGCTGCATAATCAGTATCAGGACAGCTTAACCCGCAGGATAAGACCCTATCTAAAGAAAGAAGAGGCAGTAGGAAAGTTCTTAACATACCAGATGTTCTGACTTTAATCCCAGCAGATGGATAAACTCAAATGTCTGAGTTCATTGCCATCCTGGTCACATAGTGAATTTCAGAACAGTCATATCTATGTTGTGAAACACTGTGTCAAGGAAATAACAAAAGCCTGACAGTGGTAATGCATACCTTTAATCTCAGCATTCTGGCAGAGGTGGGTGTA